ATCAGTAAAATTATCATAGTTTTGTTTTATTAGGATAAAGTACACATTTATTATTTATTTATTGTTATTCATGTTTAAAATCTCAACTTTATTTTCAATAAATTCATTTGTAATAAATTCATTAATACAATTTATACTAATTTTTGATGGAAAATGCATTGAAATATTTAAAAGTTTAAGGAGATCCAATCCTATTATCTGTTTTGTATCCCTCTCAGGAATAGAAAATGGTTAAGTTAAAATGGTTGATCCTATTTGAACTTTAATAAGTTTTATCCCAATTATTTAAACCTAAATCCATCCACTCCTATACCAAAATCCAATTTAAAAAATCCATTTTGAAAGTTTCGCCAGTTTTTAAAGAATTTTTCGGTGTATTTTAAGGTTAGAATGGATGATTCGGATCCAGAATCTAGGAGTGCATATACTTTTATGTTGTTTATGAGTAAAGGGAGGGTGACCTCGCAAATTTGAGACCTTCTATTAAACGATCTGTTTAAGTTAAAATTACAAAAATCGAATATTTTATCATTTTTGTCACATAAATGTTTTCCATCTAAACTATTTTAATAAATTATTTTTTTCTGTATATTATTTTCATTTACATTATTATCAGTTGTATTTTTTAAACATTGGAGCATTTTTAGTTTTTTGGGAAAGTTTTGCACTTGTTTGTAGGATAAAATAATTTTAGAAACAATTTATCATAACACAGTGCAAGCAATATAACTCCAGATCAATCAAACATTATAACTCCAGATTTATCAAACAATATAACTCCAGATCCATCAAACGATATAACTCCAGAACAATCAAACAATATAACTCCAGATCAATCAAACAATATAACTCCAAATAAATTTGATTTATGTGGTTTAACTGTTCACAGATCATTTAATCAATTCACACGATAACAAACACGACTTAAACTAAATCAATTAAGAATGGTTCCACGGTTTTCAGAAATCTTGAAATTAACTCGAAGTGAATCTTTTATATATTAATTCTTAATTTTGTTTATGAATGCCATGGTTTATTGTGTGTATCCCTAAATTTATCTGGAGGAGGTTCAATGTTAAACTTGTCAGTATTAACAACCCTATCTCGGAACAAATTCAATTTTACTTCATTAAACTCCGGTTCAGCCCTCTCCGGGTTTCCTCTGCTCGACGTTGAAGTCTCCAGGTTGAATTTAGCACTGATAGGAACAAGATCAGGAATCTTTCTCTTCTTCTCCTTTAATACTTGTCCTACAGGAGGGGTTGGGTTCTCTTCTCTAGGTTCTAGTTTGATACTACACAGAGTAACAGCTTTTGTAATTCTCTGAGAGCCAGGAGTTGGTTCATTTCCTTCATCTCTCGGTTCTTCCTTGATTTTTGTAGAAAAAGGAACTTCAGGTTTTATCGATTTCGGAGTAAAGTTTGAACTTTTAACAGTTAGTGGTTTAGGATCAAGCACTTTTTCCATGAATTTGGTCCAAGGTCTGAGAAGGCTGGCCTGGGTTGGTTTCGCGTTGATATATGATAAATCAAATGTTCAAGGCAGGGATTTATGGTACAGGTTCAGAAACAATGTTATGTACCATATCTTTTTCAGTATTATACTGTTCTAACTCCTTCTTGTTAGAATCAATATTTAAATATTCCTTTCCTATGTGTTTAAGTACATTAGCTTTAAAAAAGTCTCATGACTTAAAAGAATGTGAAGGATCTCTCACAATGGATTTTGACCTAACTTTGCTTTCGATAATTATTTAAAGTCTAGAACAATCACTTTAATTTTATTTTAAAACCTTTATATAACTGTAAAACTTAAGCTTTATAAATATTTTACTTTATACTTTGGACCTTTAGTTTACAATTGCTTTGATGAGATTTTAATTCAAAAAGTATTTTCAAACTTTCTATTTAGTAGACTAAATTTATTCCACTAGACGTCTACAGACAAGCCACTGTTTATGAAACAACTACGAAGGGTTTAGCTAAAAGTCAAGTCTTTTTTTTACACTATTGGCTTGTAGAAATAAAAATATGTAAAAATAAACTGATTATCCAACAAAAATTGCTTAATTAAAGAATTCCAAGGTTTTGTGAAAGTTTTAGCAGTCAGTATTTATCTAACAATCTAATTTTTTTACAAATAAAAATGTTCAGAAACACTGAATATCAAAATTACACAATTTTCAGGTTCTTACATGAAACGCTTCACCAGTTGTGTCATTTTAGACACTTTATATTTTTTACTCTAGAATAAATATTTGTGTAATTTATATAATCAAATAATATCTGATGTTAGATTTATTTAAATCTGTTAATAAGAGTGAAAATCTCCAACTATAAAGGTATTTTATCCTTAATATTATAACTTAACATTCTTTTATTCAACACTCAAAAAGTCAGAAATTCTTTGATTATAGACTCTACAAATACAGAACTATGATAAGAGTAAAAACTTACTTTTCATCTGTCAGAACATATATTTCAATTAACTATATAGAAAACTGTACAGATAAATGTTTTACAGATAAGTTACCAAGCTACAAAGAGAGTTAGCATAGTGTTATAACAAGCATTTGCAAATGCAACATTTTTCCACACCGAAGTTTTTAAAATTTGATGGTCCTAAATCCTTCCCTTGTGGCATGTAACTGTAAGTTGCAACAAAGTTTGAGCCCAATTGGTTTAGAAGATTTGAAGTTTAATAGATACTATCAAACACCAGGCCACCCTCAGGAAACAGAAGTGGATGATACAACTAGATGTCAAACTCTAAATGGATGTTCTAAACTCCACTTCAAAACTCCACTTAAACTCGACTTTAACTCCACTTTTGAATTCCAGTCACCAGCTGGCTGAAATCTGGTTGCATAAACTCGACTTAAACTCGACTTTTTGAATCCTAGTTTTTACCAAGTCAGGGTGAAAACTGGGAGTTCAAATATCCACTTTTAAACTCCACTTTAACTCAACTTAAACTCCACTGTTGAAATCCACTTATCAACTGGGTGCATAAACTTGACTTAAACTCGACTGTTTGAATCCAATATTTTCCCAGTCATCAACTGGGTGAAATCTGGGTGCATAAACTCGACTTAAACTCGACTTTTTAAATCCCAGTTTTTACCAAGTCAGGGTGAAAACTGGGTGTTCAAAAATCCACTTTAAAACTCCACTTTAACTTAACTTAAATTCCACTGTTGAAATCCACTTATCAACTGGGGGAAATCTGGGTGCATAAACTCTACTTAAACTCGACTTTTTTATTCCCAGTTTTTACCAAGTCACAAGCTGGGTGAAATCTGGGTGAAAAAACTTGACTTAAACTCAACTTTTTTAATCCCAGTTTTTACCAAGTCAGGGTGAAAACTTGGGTTTCATAACTCCACTTCAGAACTCCGCTTAAACTCGACTTTAACTCCACTTTTGAACTCCAGTCACCAGCTGGGTAAAATCTGGGTGCATAAACTTGACTTAAACTCGACTTTTTTAATCCCAGTTTTTACCAAGTCACCAACTGGTGAAGTCTGGGTGCATGAAACTTGACTTATACTCAACTTTTTTAATCCCAGTTTCTGTGTCAATATATTCACGAAACCTCAATTGCACAAAAATGCATTTTTAAATGAAAATTTAATAATATTTGATGATTTTTTAAAAGAATTGATATGTAAGAAATTTTATGCAACTATTTTTGTAAATACAATGTTTCAAAATTTCATTTTGAAGTAAATCGATGTTTTCATTAGAATCAATGTCAGTAAATTCTTGATTTTTAGATAAATAGAAGTTCCACTTGGACACTCTTATAACAGGTATAACGGTAAGTTAATACAGTATAACATATATTGAATAAGTAATTCTTAAAGATATGTGCTGTATGTATGTATGAGTGTTAATTTAGATTATTACAGATGGAGGAACGATGATGGGTTAATTGGGAAGAAGAATACTGGATTGGATTGGTTATATCTGGATGATGTGTGGGTGATATCATATAGATATCATCCAGATATCACCCACATATCATCCACATTTCATTCAGATATTATCCAGATATCATTCACATATCATCCAGATATCAGCCACTTATCATGCAGATATCATCCATATTTCATCTAGATATCACCCACATATCAATCCACATATCATCCAGATATCACCCACATATCATCCAGATATCACCCACATATCGTCCAAATATCACCCGGTCAATATTTTTTACAACCCCCCAACTTGGTGAAAAGTCGAGTTTAAACCCTGATTTGGCACAACTATTGCCGGTGAAAACACCGCTATTAAACTCAATTAAAACTCCACTTATCATCCAGATATTACCCAAATATCATCCAGAAATCACCCAGAAATCATCCAGATATCATCCAGATATCATCCAGATATCATCCAGATATCATCCAGATATCATCCAGAAATCATCCATATATTATCTTGGTGAAAAGTCGAGTTTTAATCCTTGTATGGCACGACTATAGCTGGTGAAAACTCCACTTTTAAACTCGATTAAAACTTCACTTCCGGAAAGCAAAAGTCGAGTTTTAGTCGAGTTTAACTCGAGTTTTTGTATGCTGGGCCCAGACAAGCTGCAAAATATTTACAGTTAGAACCATAAACTCTGCATAAGAAGATAACGTAATACTCAAGGTGTGAAATTAAATTGTTTAATGAGCATTAGACATGGCAATGTGCAGTGTTAACAGACCCATTTTACTTTAGAAGTGTTTTGACAAGCTAAAATCAAAACTGTTTGCTTTGTAACAACATCAAATACACAGTTGAAAAGGTCAAAACCTTCATCTAAATATTAGAAATGATTGGTAAGCTTTCTGTAAAGAAATGATAGTTTTAAAAGTGGAAAGAACTGTTAGTTATCACTTTCTCTTCAAATGATTTTAGAATTGAAACAAAATAACTTTACATATATTTTAGATGATAATTTACATCAACATTAACATTAACAACATTAACATCAACAGTAATTTTGGTTTATTTTACAAACTTTTCACAACTCATTTTAATGGATCCTAAGAATTTTCAATTTCACATAAAAAATTAAATTCTTGCCAGGGAATGAATGGACTGGAAGGTAGTTTTTTAGATTTAATTAAGACTAAAATGTTCTAAGTCAAATAATTTTTGATACAAGGACCTTCAACCTAAATGTTGTACAACTATTAGTAGTTATCACTTAATCTTCGAATGATTTTAAAATTAAAACAAAATAACTTTACATACATTTTAGATAATAATTTACATCAACATTTATGCAGTTTTCAGTAATTTTGGTTTACTTTACAAACTATATCACAACACATTTAAGTTCCCAGATTTTTCAACTTCAAATACAAAATTCATTTCTTGTCTAAAATTAAATTTCCAAGTCCTTTAGTTGAATTGCCAATGGTTTATTCCATATTTGTTGGTCATTTTTTTTTAGTTTATTACTTGATAAAATATTCAAAAGGAAATAATTTTTGATTATTTACAACAATGAAATGGTGTCAAGCTCAAAGCAAGTGGATATGAATCATTACGTTGAAGTAAAAACTAGAATTACACAAGCATGTTAATGGTGGAAAGTTTACAATATCAAGAGAGTGAGATTATTGTTGATTAGTCTATCTTTCTAGTTTTTTCTTTTAAATGTCCTCAATAAAAGTATCTCAGTTCTTGAAGTATACTAAGTAGAGATTGGTTGAAAGTTGAGAACCTATGACACTTGTTCATTTTAATAATTTCCTCCACCTCAGTGTAATTTCAAGTGACCCTCCATTCAAAGATGGCAATGTCTGAATCTAAAAGATGCTCCGAAACCTTAATTTGATAAAAATGTGACAATATAGTTAAAAGAAACAAGAATAAGGAAATCTTATTCATTCCAGATCAGACATGGGTACCCTTAAATTAAACTTTTTCATATTTGCATGAAGGGCCTCTTTAAATTATCCTTGCTGTCAATTTAAGCAACTAAAGAGATCCTGTTCCCTCTTCCAAACATTTGCCTTGAATTAAAAGTTGAAAATTCTAGATTATCTCTTTTAACTCTCAGAACTTGCTTAAAGTGGTTCCATGCACTCTCATTCTTGGAATAGAAGAGCTGAATACCTACTACAATGCAGCATACTAACAAGGGCTGGGTTGTTTGCCTGTTACATGGAGAGACTAGGGTTTGAATTACAAATACAGCCAGAGCAAGCAGTGCCAACGCAAGTGCCCCAACCATCAGTTTCTTTAGGCTGATCAGATTCTGCTGAGGAGGAGCAATCTCACGACGAATTATCAGGGCATGCTTTCTCTTCAGATACAGAGTGTTGAAGGTATAGGCAAATACTGTGCCTGTTAGTGCGAGCATGGCATTTACATCAGTTGTGTACCAGGCAATATCATGCCCATTGGATGCTCGCGATCCGAGGAGGTATCCAAGGTAAGGAGAAATGAACCCTAAACAATGGATTATGATTTCAAAGAATGAACTCAGACTCAAGGTGCTAAATATCATTACCAGAACAAGGTAGCATCCAAATAGTAACTATTTTACACCTGTTTGGAGATCTATTACTGTGATGATGATGGTGGTGGGTATGTAGATAAGTTGGACTGCCAGAAACAGTTGTTTAGCAGCTTGCTCTGGTTCTAGTTCCATCATTTGGTCAAACTAAAATACAGCTAAATCTTAATCATATAATAATCAAGACACTGTCATAACTGGATGAGAAAGTTTTTATTTAATTCTGACTCAACAATTTTGTAATAAATGACCTTTAGAACCAAAAGCATCCTGAGGGCAGCCTGGACTATGTTTAGTCCTATCATGTTTAATGCAACCCAATGTAAACTTTTCATCACCATAGTTCCAAGAAACAGTGGTAGTTTACAGATGATTGATACCCACATGCCACTGAGAGCCTACAAAAAATCAATAACATTCTTTTTTCTTTTGAAAAACCAATATTATTTCAGTAACATAAAATGATTAAGCGCGCATTTTCAATTAATCATTAACTTTCTTTTTTCCATTTTTTAAAGTGAATTGTAAAAACTTACAATTAGAGATATAAACAAATTGAACATCTCCACTATGTAGTAGTTGATGATAAAGATGATGTTCATCTTGGCAAATGGAACAGAGTTCCTGTAGAGTCTGATAACACCAGCTGACAGGTTTGAGAAGAGGGAAGGGATGAGGAAAGCCAATGCCATGAAAGGATCCGAGGTAAAGCTAAAGGAGAGAATTACAGAATTTGTAAATTATGTAATATTATTACTATTGTAGACTAGGGTTTCCAATTTTTAAAGGCCTTACAGAACCTTTTTTGATGCTGTTAAGAATGTAAAATTATTAAAAACTGTTGGAAATTATTTTTTCAGCATATCACACTAAGCACTGTATTGCATTTAGTGGGAGATTTCTTCAAAAATTTCGATTTAAAGAATTATCACTATTTTATCATTCTTACACTACCAGAAAGGTTCACAAAGGTCTTTTCAGAACAAGTTGACTAGAAAAACATAGAAATTTTATTACAGACACTGCGTTTGGGGATGGATCATTTTCACTTTTCTAAAAAATGAACTTAGCTGGGAACTTTAGAATTGGATACCCTTAATCCTGATCGCTTAATTGGAAAATCCAATGTGGACACTTTAAATTTCCTGCTTAGTTAACTTTTTTTCTCTTCTGAAAGATTTTCCAACCAGATTCCATCCAATATGAGCTCTCTCATGGAAAAAGTGGGCAAAATTTTCAATTTCCCAGCTTCTGATTGGCTGTTTGAAATTAGGTATATAAAACACTCTATTGGCTGAATTGTATATCCTTTTCTAGATACTAAATAAAGACTAAATTGATCTTGTTATTACTAAAAAAAAGAGAACAAACTTTGATCTCAATATCCACAATTCTAAAGTTTTTGAGCTCAGAGTTGAAAACTTTAGAATGGTGGATATTGAGATTAATGCTTGATCCTCTCTTTTCCTTAATATCGGGACTAATCTAATCTTGTGCATGTATCCTGAAAAGTATAAAAAATTCAACCAATCAGTGTCGCGTATATGAAGCCGACAAATTTGAAATTTTGCGCGTCATTTAAGATTATATACAGAAACGGGAGCGACTATCTAATTTAGAAAAAACGGTTTTTGATTTTTCCTTACTATATCCAAGAAAGAAAGGTTTAAGAAGAAAATGAAAAGTGTGTCCATGGGATACTCAGATATAGTAATCGGGATTAAGGATATCTCATTCTAAAGTTTTCAGCTTAGATCATTTAAAAATCGTGGAAGCAGAGTTTTAAGTTTTAGTTTGTCGTTTTGTTAACAAAGATAGGATTTTTAACAATCGTTAACAATTGTTAAAACAACCATTAATGACGACCTTTCATAACAACAGGGGATCTGAACTTATTATGAAGAAGTTTTAAATATCGAGATGTTTTAACTCATTACTTGTTTTAATGGATTTATCCGCTATGGCCATGTCTTCTTCAATTTTAGATCATAAAACCTTTGGATCAGAAACCTTTTGTTTAGAAATTAGTAATTTTCCATTGCATACCTTTGTAAGACTACATTTTTCCAGAAACTATGATATAGTTTGTTTTGAAAAAATCAAATCTGTGATCTTTCTACCTTTCAAGACTGCAGACATCAATGTCTTCTTGACTTGTTTGATTTGAGGAGTTCATTATGTTAGAGTGAACTGAAATAGGATTATTCACCTATTACTACAGGACTTATTAGATTGTAAAATTGCATGGTACTTTTACAGTTTCTGCTGAAATTAAAGTACAGCAGAACCTTGTTGCAATGCATTAGCATATCTGCGAAATTTATGTATTTTGTAAAACAACAACAGAAAAAGTAATTTACCCAGGTGCCTAGGGGGGGTTTAGCCTCTGCCTAGGTGGTTGAACTTTTGACTTAAACTTAAAAAAAAAAATACATTTTATTATTTTGAGTATATCAAATATCATAAAGAATTCGAGGAATTATCATAAATGTCTAAATATATATGTATGTTTATTATATTGCAGCCTACCTCTTGCTCTAGGGGGGACCTAGGGAGTGCATATCTATAAGGGAGTGCACAGGGGTATCGGCCCCCCCACTATGCCGCTGAATTTACCAATTTTTAATTGACAAAATATCGGTCCATTTGCTCTATTAACCATTTGCTCTATAACTCATAGATCACGACGTTTGCTCTATATGTCATCTGCTCTATACGTCAATTTATCTATGACATAACACGTCATTTGCTCTATAAAAATTTTTATGACTGTGATGGTCCAATTGCTCTACTCAACATTTGCTCTATAAGTTAACACGTCATTTGCTCTATAAACATATTTTACAAATATCTAATCATATTAAAACTATATTTTACAATTTTACATTTTACAGTTCTTCCTACAGTTTCATTATTCCGCCAACTTCCTGGAGATAGTTTTGTTTGTCTAGTATTTGTGCATAGTGTGAGACCTTAAATATAGTTTTCATCACATATTAGGCTTTTTTACCCCTCTTATTATTGAGCAGTCTCTCTGTCATGCTGAACTTTGAAGAACTGATTAAAACTGCTATTTGCGAATTTTCCAAAAAAAAATCCCGCATTTCATAGTCAAGTTACGCTTAGAAATTCCAATAAAAGCTATTTTATAGTGTATTTTTAGGTTATAGAGCAAATGACGTGTTTAGTCATAGAGCAAATGAGGTATAGAGCAGATTGAATATAGAGCAAATGACGTATAGAGCAAATGACTTGATAGATCAAATGGAACTAGAGCAAATGACCATAGAGCAAATGACCATAGAGCAGATGTCGTAGCACCGCCATTTGGGAAAATACTATTAGGAAGTTGCCACTTGGAAGTACCTAACATCTTGGTACACCTAGGACTGGGAGTCATTCCTGGGGATCAGAATGGATAGGAAAACAACGAAATAACAGTGCTAAGGGAAAAAACTAGAGAAGGGTTAAATTCCCCCCTCCCTCCAGCCTGTTTAGGGTTAACTTAATAATCATTACTCAAAAGGTGCATACACCGGACCCCCTGTGAGTTAAGGAAGGTCAATTTTTAAAGATTTTTCAAAACCTAATTTGCTTTAAGCTGATTTATACAAAACATTCAAATCTGAGTAAGTTTCAGAGAAAAAATAATGTCCTTAAAATCTATATTTGGCCTAAAACAGGTTTTTGGACAAATATCCATCCTAACGGTTAGAGATACAAAAAAGACATAATCATAGTTTGTCATATTTTGATCAATATAAAAATTGCTTCCTGAATAAGCTAATCAAATCTTATCAGTATTAAAACCAGTTTTTGTTTGCAAAATATTGACTTGACAGAAAAACATATTTTCTAAAAGATATTTTAATATACAATAAACATACTATTTTGGATTGACAAAATTGTTTTCTAATTCTACTTCAGCAGGGAATTTACAAGAAAATGAAATCTTTAACATGTAATCTTTTGAAATATATATTTGGGTGTCTGAAAGGATTGAAACGTCAGATTCTATGCAACTATAATAATGATGCATAAACTCCAAGTGGGCATTTGGCTAAAAACTAAAAAAAATCACAAATCAACCATTCCTACTTCCCACAATAGTCCAGGGATATTTTGAATTAAAACTGGGGATTAAATTTAGTTAAAAACCAAAGATAATAAAATTAAAATCTAACCCAGAGGTTTGTGGTGTTTATTACTTTCTGCACTTTCTTGTGAATCTTGAATAAGAAAGAGGACGAAATGAACTTGAAAGTTGGCATTCTTGGAAGAAAAAGGTAATTTCTTCGTCATTTCCATCTAATTTATGGTAAGTAAATATTGTCTGTTTAATGGCTAAACCATTTGTATTTTGTGTCCATAAGTACAAAATATATAAGTGACTATTCAACCATCTTCTCATAAAATTTTAGAAAGCTCTGTTGAGGTTTGAACCGTACAAATGTCGGGGAGAAGATTAACACAAAGAGAACTCTGCTTGGCTTTTTATTTGCTGTGGGGAGGCTAGCTGGCAGAGCAAGGTTGGAGGGACTAACTCTAATCTTCATGGATTCAGAAAAATCTGCATGTAAACAAAAATTAAAACATCTAATGCCAACTAAAAGTCAAACATTAAAACAAAACTATTAAAAGTCAAAATATAGCTTTGAAATGCAAATTGTTTTGGTTACTTTTACCTTTTATTTTCTTATAGGATGCATTGTACCATAACAGCAAATGTTTGTAGAATACAGTTTTAAAATGTTGGAACCTGCGGGATTTTCATTGTGACTATTGTGAGGTTCTTTGACATCAGAGTTGGAGTTTATGGATTCATGGTAGTATCAGTCAGGAGAAATCTTTCTGAAAATTGATAATCTTATAAAGCAAAGAAATTGCTGTGATTTTAGTGTTTAGATGAAAGGCTTTTAAATTGAGACAAACTGTAATGGTGTTGAGACTAAAAGTATATAAAGCCTCATCACTTTTCAGACTGCTTCAGAATTGGTTCTTGCCCTTGAGTTAGGTGCCTTCAGCTTTTTCTCATCATGTTCATTCATTATTCATGAACTACCCATTTTGTTCGTTTTCTAAAGTATCTTCATTTTCAATCTATCTCGTTCATCCCCACTGAAAACGCTCATTCAGTAAAATAGTTTGTTCAGAAAAAATGTTTGATCAATAAAATAGTTTTTTCTAAAGTTTATACGAAAAATTGTTTTGCTGACTGAAACCACTGGTGAAATATTACAAACAATTCATGGTCATTGTTTACACAACTCTAACACAAGGTGTAAACAATGACCAACTCCGATATCAGGTGTTAACTATGACCAACTCAAATATGAGGTGTTAACAATGACCAACTCCAACATGAGGTGTAACCAATGACCAACTCCAACATGAGGTGCAAACAATGACCAACTCCAGCATGAGGTGCAAACAATGACCAACTCCAACATGAGGTGTAAACAATGACCAACTCCAGCATGAGGTGTTAACAATGAACAAATCCAACATGAGGTGTTAACAATGACCAACTCCAACATGAGGTATAAAGAATGACCAACTCCAACATGAGGTGCAAACATGACCAACTCCAACATTAGGTGTAAACATGACCAACTCTACCATGAGGTGTTAACAATGACCAACTCCAACATGAGGTGTAAACATGACCAACTCCAACATGAGGTGTAAACAATGACCAACTCCAACAGGAGGTGTAAACATGACCAACTCTACCATGAGGTGTTAACAATGACCAACTCCAACATGAGGTATAAACATGACCAACTCCAACATGAGGTGTTAACAATGACCAACTCTACCATAAGGTGTTAACAATGACCAACTCTACCATGAGGTGTTAACAATGACCAACTTTAATATAAGGTGTAAACATGACCAACTCTACCATGAGGTGTAAACAATGACCAACTCCCATATGAGGTAACAATGACCAACTTTAATATAAGAAATTGCTGAGATTTTAGTGTGACAACAGCACAATTAGATGAAAGGAAATGCGCTGTTGAATTGGGACAAGCTGTTACATGGTGTTGTCACCAAAAGTATATAAAGCTTCATCAATTTTCAGACTGCTTCAGAATTGGTTCTAGCCCTTGAGTTAGGTGCCTTCAGCTTTTTATCATTATGTTCATTCATTATTCGTGAACTACCCATTTCGTTCTTTTTTTCAATCGTTCAAAAAAATTTTAGTTTGTAAGTTTTCAAAATTATTGTTCATTTTCCATCTATCTAGTTAGTTTTCTCTCTAAAGGCTCGTCCAGTATAAATATCGTTGGTTCAGTAAAATCGTTTGTCAATAAAATATTTTGGAAAATTAGTTTGTTCAGTAAAAGACTATAAAGTTTTCAAATTCGGTCGAACGATTTTATACCGTTAGTTTTAAAAAATGATCATTTTTCATTTCTCTGAACGATCCATTTGGTTTTCCTGAACTGTGAAAGTCAGAATAAAAAATTGATCTCTATCTTATACGAAATAATTTAATTCCTCTGTAAAATCTTGTTATTTGTATATTTGTATTTATTGAGCTATGAACCTAAATCTTGAAAGTGTCCACGTTGTATATAAGTAAGTAATTATTTATGTGTGAAATATAACAAAAACAAACAAAATAAAGTTTTCAGGAGATCATTTTTTTATTAAATTTTTTGATTTAAAAATAAATTGTTAAAAAAAATTTGTGAACAAAAATTTTTTCAGTAGAAAATATTAAAAAACTTCTTTCTCCTAATTATAAAAAAAGAAATAAAAGGAAAAAAGGAAAGTTACATATTTATTGTTTGCATTATATTTAATTTATACTTGTTGTGGATTGTTAATGTTTTTCGACGATGAACTTTTTGTGCAAAAATTTATATTTTTTATCAATTGATCCTCCTGGCAATGTCCATTCAGGTTTCTAGATAGGTGGAACCTGATAGGCTTCGCTTCCTACCTTACACCTAATTAATGTTTGATGTTTATGGTTTGATTTGTATTATTTTCATAAAGAGAAACTTGCCAAGAAAAGAATATTAACAAAAAAGACACAAAGGATCGATTTTTTAGAAAACTATTATAAAAATTAATCAAACAATATCTGTATTCAATATGTTTGGACTACTAGATATTTATTGTTCATGCATCAAATATTCCTTTTAAATAAAACAATCAGGTTGGTTCGCCTGCTCCTATTTAGTTAGTGATATTCATTATATTGGTTCGTTTTAACGATAATAAATAAATTAATAAATAATAAATTAATTAATAAATAAATTATAAATAATAAATTATAAATATAATTTTTTCCTTTTTTTTATCAAGATTATTGCAAAGTTTAAGAAAATTAACAAGATCAAAGATTAAGGTTTCAAGGGTACCATTGAAAATCGGGCCTTGCAATCTTTTCACGGAAGGTCCCTTGAAATTACGCTTACTTTAATGAAAAAATCATTGTTTTAATCATGCTTTTGGTCAGACGATTTGATAAAATTTTTAATTTAAAATTAAATTTATATGATTGAAAATATTGTACTGCTATAAGATTTAAAATCATTTTCAAAAATATTAAGAATTTCAAAATATAAAATTTTGAAAGCCCTGTTTTAATTTTTTTGGTGAGTTTTCGTGCCCTTTCTCAACAAACTTACAAGCTAAAAAAAGAAATGGCGTTTAAAATAAAGTTTCCTTCCTTTTCTATCCAACACTAAAAATTAAGTACCTGGACGACTTTTAGGGATCCAGATTAAGTTGAACTGTGAGTGTAAACAGACATACTGTCTGTTGACAGAACAGCTGGAAGAACACAAAGTAAATCATTCTCTTTAATGTGAGATTTCTAAGCCCCTTTGTAGGACCAATCATAATTCTTATAACCCTTGACCGATTTGCCTCAAACTAGCGATAGAACCATCAGCATGATCTAAAATTGTTTTAAATTATAATTTTAATGACTTGAATTTTATTGAGAAAGTGTAGCTTCCCATCAAAGCTGGGTGCCCAAGCTAGTTTACAAATGAAAAGTTGATAAAAATATGAAGATTTATTTTTAAAGTTCTAATATCAATCGAACAAAGTTGGACAATTATCATGAAATTAATAAAGTTTATTCTATTGAAGCAATTGGTTTAATAACATAGGGTTTATGCTGATCAAATATAGATTATTTTTTTAAGTTCCAATATCTCTAATGAAGCTTGACGATTATTAAGAACTCAATGAGAAGAAATTAATAATGGATATTACATTGAAGCAATTATGTCTTATTAATAACATCTTGTGGAAAATGAAAAGAAGTAGAAGGGGGGGGGAGGCAAACCAATGCGATGTACTTGTAGTTTAACGCAGAGGGGGGGGGGG